TCATCTCGATGTTCATTGGTGGGTTTTCTCGTGAATATCCATAATGCTTTTGACGGTTTTATAGCTGAAAGTTCTGTTTCTCTCATCACCATATGGCACTTTATTTCGAATTCCATTCCATTATGTTCCACAACCTTATGCCTCCCGAGAGCAGTTGTAAGAGTACCACGTCTCATACTGGCAAGATGTTCCTTGATAGGGATAGCCAGAACCCTTCCTGTCTCCCCTATATGTGTAGAGTTACATGCCCGAAACTGAACCTCATTTATTACTCCCAGCTGCGCACAGTCACCAACTGTTCCGTGTGGGCAAGTAACACGATTCATTTGGCATATTTACGTACTGAACATCGTCCTACAACTGAGCCCACTATGCTCTTTTTTTGCAGTGCTGACCTTATCATATATAAAGGGAAGGCACAAAAGTCTCTCGTTCCGGACGCGGTCCTCCTTGTGGGTCGAGGATGTGGTGCCGTATAGCCATTCATAACGGCTATTTTTGTGGCTAGCTCCTGTGATTTTCATTCTACATCGCACTCCACGTCGCCGTTCGGAACATGTTACGGACAACAGCACGCTTCAGTGCAATAGGGTGTGCTGATGTAGCGTGCAGCAAGATGCATTTCGAGCTGCTGCTACGGTACCATTCCACCGTTTATGACCACTTGCCATTGGATACCTTGACTCGCGGGATGAGGAATGGTAGCCAACCGTTTTGTTGGGGTTTCTCAGGTGCAAGACGCTCGCCGATGGCGACTCCTCTGAGATGAGAGCAGCATGTACCTGCCTATTTGAAGATGTTACGGTTCAAGGTTCCTTGATTAGAGTCATTATGTGCGCTTTAGCAAGTGCAAAGTTTCGTATAACAGCAATATGCCTGTCAGCATTTTGTATTACATAATGCTCTCAGGGCTTGCTCGCTTTGGACATAGTGTGAAGCAACGTAACATCAACTGACTCTACCACAGCATTGTTTGGGATTGTTCAAGGTAATGCAGGAGAAAGGGGACCATAGATAAAAGTTGATTGACGATTGTGTTGAGAAACTATGACATTCGCTCGGTAGGGCCCAGCCCAATATTTTGCAACTATTCCCTCTCTCATCAAAACAAAACATTGTAGTCCTAGCAAGCACTTGCTTTGCTTTGTGGCTTTGGCTTTTGTGGCAGCAAGTTGCACTTTTGTGGTTTTCTGTTTACCACTACTTGTTTTCTCCAATACCGTATGGCTAACTATCAAAGACGACTTGAGTGTGCAAGTGTCTGGTACCAAACGGCTCGAACAATCGCTCACAACCATCGATACTAAACTCACGACCACCTGTTACGACTGCGCTCACATGGATGAGTTCATGAACTGCTTTATCTATGCACGACCCATGGATTTTACACTCACCTGTTGTCACCGGCACTGTGGTTGAATGTCGCAGGCGATTCCATTGAAACCGATGTCGACCCTTTGGCTGTTGAAGTTATTGCTGTCGTGGTGCTAGCTTCGGTCGTGGAAGATTCCGTAGTTGTCGAAGCCGATGCCGTACTAGATGGTAGTGTGCTTGTCGGAGCAGATCTAGTTGTCGGGATTTCTGCTGTCGTGGTGCTCGTTGCAGCTTCGGTCGTGGGAGTCGAATGCGAAGATTCCGTAGTTGTCGAAGCCAATGCCGTACTAGATGGTAGTGTGTTTGTCGGAGCCGATGCAGTTGTCGGGATTTCTGTTGTAGTGGTGTTGGCTAGGGATGTCGCTGAATATGGAAATGAGGACGTCGACTGGTGTAACGCCATCGTACTTGCTGCAGTTTTTGTAGTCATCTTCTCGGCTCCGTGACCTGAAGAAATAGCAATTATATAATGGCTCTCGTTCTTCATGAGGAGGAACTGTGAACTTATTCATTTTATTTTATAATATATATAAAAAGGTTGTTCTTCCTTGTGTTACTACGCATAGCGCACAGCTATGGTCTATTGTTTCCACTTATTAAGGTAGCGTTGTCATACTTCGCGACAGCAGCGGCGATTGCGGTGATCGTCGGTACGGCACAGAGCGCGCCGCAACGCATTTACTTGGACCGCTCGTAAATAAAGAAATCCAACTTGTGAGACCTTTCTCCTTCAACAGTAGCTACTGAGTGGAAACTTTCTCGGCTTAAGAGGATCTGGAATGTGATGAAGGGGGTTTTCACCATTTTTTGAGATCTATAACGGATTCTTCACCTAATAGGTGGGTTTCTTTTTGCTTTTGTTTCATTGTTTCATTTTATATGAGTGTCTCCAAATTCTTATTGGTTAAGCTGTTCTAACTTCCAAAACATTTATAGTTTAAAAGTCGAGACAACGAAAAAAATAGAACGAAACCCACCTAGGAATCGAAACAGTAATCTTGTGCAATGTCAGGGAGGCTTAAAGTGATGTATAAGCTCGAAGGTGGAAGAAACATTAAGAAACTTACCCTAAATGAAGCTCCCACATAGTGCTGATTTTATGTGACCGTAGTCCAGTCAGCTCCTACAAAAACTGTCGCCGTCCTCATAATGTGTGAGCGAGCGTGATTCTCGAGAAAAGCGATACTTCTTCGCTGTGAAGCTCGTTTTTTTTCGCGATAGAGGAGACCTCAGCACTTCGCAAAGCAGTACACATTGTTAGTCAAAGAAAATCCCCTTTTTTTGCAGACCACAGGCTCTTTTTGAAGTGGGCCCTGCATTCACTTTCAGTGAATATCTGCTGGAGGAATCTCTCTGTGCTTTCCAACCACAATCTTTTAGTAGTGAAACATGTGATGAGTCATCACTCACTGATATGTAGTCCATCATATCATGAACGTGATGCCACGATCGTACTCAAACCTAATAACGCACCTAATGGTTGTGGAAACATACGCTTAGACCTTATGAAGGCTCTCCGAGAGTATTTCTAGAGATCAGATAACTTTCCCAGCAGTGCGAAAACTTTGGAATTGCTGAGCGTGTCAGGCACTTTAAATTTCAGCAATAACTATGAAGCACTTTACTAATTATGGCCAAGCTTATATAATGCTCGTTCATTTTCTCGCTTTCCTTACTCATGCTCTGCTTTTGTTCTATTCCAGCGTGTCTGCTTCTTGGAAGGCTTTCTAGCAAAATTCTTAAGGTTATCCGTGGAAGGCTTCTGCGGTTCAGGTATGCCAGCCAAGCCGGCCGATCCGACTGGACCTCTTTTTCTTTGCGGATGGGCGGGGAAAACACACTTCTCATGCAGAAGGAGCCAATCCTTTTTCTGCG